CGATGACGTGATCGACTTGTGGACAATTATACCTTTTAAAATTGATAAGAACAGATACAATATTTATAAAAAATATTTTCACTACAAAAATTGATATGACTTTTTTTTTGTATGCATGAAACATATGTGCATGCCAAAACTTAAATTTTAAAATATGTTACGTTCGGGTTGTCCACTTGTTGATCACCGATCCTAAGCTAAGGAGCGTCCTCCTAAGTTAGGTTCAGTAGGATATCCTTCTAGTGGACGGGCTTTATCCATCCGGGTGATCGAATAGCCTTTGACGACCCTCGAGTACAAATATATATATTTGAGTCTAGCCCCGACCCGAGTGCTTGCGGTCCCCTCTTTTCGGACATTTTCATATGTTTTTCTTAGAATTTTTAGACAAAGCACTTGTTGTCTTTTCTCTGGGATTTTCCCGAGGTTTTTACAGTTTTATTTAAATCATTACTCGTCGATTTTCCCAAGTCTTTCTTCGTGGATTTATTTGTTGATTTTCTCGAATTTTCCAAGCAAAGTTTCTTTTATTTATACAGTGAATAATAGCTAGCTTAAAGAAGCAGCAAACTTCCCAAATTTACAGGTGTGATTTACATTGCAGTATTTTTATTTCATAGCATGTTGTATTACTCTCCTAGCATTTTATACTGTTTTTTCTAGTACGTTATACTATTCTTTCAGCATGCTATACCGTTCTTTCTTTTTACTGTACATTATATTGTTCTTTTCTTTTATATTGCATGCTTTGTTAATTTGATACACACTATACCTTAGTATAGGAAAACCTAGTGGTTATATAGGAATTAACATTAAACTTGGAGGTGCTTGGAGGTGCTACGACGGAGAGCTTGGAGCGAACACCGTGGGCAGCATGACGAGGAACAACTTCAAGATGGATCTACAACACTAAAACACTTTCACATTCACACCGAACACTTTCCTTAGTTTAAATAACAACTAATAGGAGTTCGAGGTGGTTTGCCTAGCGCAACGTAAACCCTCACATATCACTTTTAGGCTTTTGCACAACCCTGATTATGCAATTATAAGTTCTAGCACTTTAGGATTCTGAGGTTATTGAATGGTACGGTGTAAGTCCTCCTATCTTTTTAGGTTATTTACACGATCAGATATCATACAAATATAATTCTTAAATTCTAAATAAATTACAAGATTAAACATTAAATAACATAATTTCAAAGATATAAAGTCAAACAGTAGGATAGTTGGGAGGTCACTAGGGTTCTCCCCGGATCTATGATATCCCATAGTTTTCGCTCCTTTAGATTTCTTAAAATAATTGTTTCTATTTGGGTCATTCTCATTTGATTTTCTTATGTCCAATCTTGGAAACCTAAACTTTGAAATCTGGAAAATAAAACAACTGATCTTAATCGAGAGTTTTCTTAAGTGACCCTGATCATTTAAGATATAATTAATTATAGGGGTTTATCTCTATAGAGAACTTGGAATCCAGGTAAAATAAAATCTATCTAATATTTATATTAGGTAAGGGAATTTGTTGGCCTCATATAAAATAATTCGCAGACCAAACGGATGTCACAAATTCTTTAGTTTAGGTGGTTAAACATACTACAGAAGAAAAATTTTCAAATACTGTAGGTATTCTTCGGAATAAATGTATTACTTGTGGTATCGTGCTTAGTTACCCATGCTTAGTTCGGAATAAATGTATTACTTGTGGTATCGTGCTTAGTTACCCAAACTATTCAAAATGTGAGACTCGTTTGGTCTCACCTATTTTTAAATCATTCATATCAAAATAAAAATCATATTCATATCAAAATTATTTTCATATTTTCCTATATATTTTTCAAAATCAAAATTAAAACGACCGACAATATTCAACATAGATGGTTGATATACTTTGATAAACTTTTCAATAAAATTTTTGAAAATACGATCGACCTTAGTGATCTTAATATCACTAATAATAAAAAAAATTATTCTAATCGTGGCATTAGTAAAAAGAAAGTTGAGGAGCATTTAAAGAAAAAAATGGTGGAAAATCAGTAAGTACTAATAACATCCTAATAGAAATGCGAAAATATTTAGGAGATTTGAGAATTTCTTGGCTTACTAAATTTGTTAATATTATTTAAGAAAATAAAAAATATGTCTGAGGAGCGGAGGAAGAGTATTTTCGTCTCATTTTTAAGAATAAAGGGATGCACAAAGGTGTGCAAATTATATAAGAATTAAGTTAATGTATATTAAAATTATGGTAGAGAGTGATTGAACATAGGTTAAAATGCGAAACAAAGATTTCTCATAATCAGTTTGGTTTTATGTTGAGCAAGTCTATCATAAAAGCTATACAATTATTGAGAGATTTGATGGAAAAGTACAGAGAGAGAAAGAAGGATCTTCATATGATTTTTATTAATTTAGAAAAAGTTTATGATAAAATTCCAAGAAAAGTTCTTTAGAGAATTCTAGAAAAGAAGAGGGTTGACAAGTCATTAAGGATATGTATACTGGAGTTGTCACTTGTGTTCGAACAGAAGGAGGATTGACCAAATATTTCCAATTTCAATTGGATTACATCAAGGATCGGCTTTAAGCTCATATCTTATGCTTTAGTTATGGATGCACTTACTGGACATTTACAGAATGATGTATCTTGGTGTATGCTTTTCGCGGATGATATTCTTCTTATGGATAAAATTAGAGAAAGGATTCAGAATAAACTTGAATTATGGAGGTCTACATTAGAGTCTAAAGTCTTTTGTTGAGTAGATATAAAATTGAATATAAGGAATGTCATTTCAGTAGTAGTAAATCTAGAGGCATAGTTGCAACAATGGGTGATCAAACTATTAAAAGGAGTGAAAAATATTAAATATATCGGGTCTATTGTTCAAAGTGATGGTGATATAGAAGTGAAGGAATGTATTGGGCCTATTGTGTGATAGAAAAGTACCACTTAGACTTCAAAGGAAAGTTTTGTAAGACGCTGGTGAGACCTGCAATGCATTATGGAGAAAAAATTTAGCCTATAAAAAGAGTAGAATCAAACTAAATTAAATGTTGTTGAGATGAGAATGCTTAGGTGGATAGTGAGTTGACTCTTAGAGACACAATGCGAAATGAATATATTCGCAAAAGAATTTGTGTAGCTTCAGTGGCAGATAAGAGTAGAAATAGTCATCTTAGATGGTTTGGCCACATTAAACATCGACCATCTTATGATCTAGTTAGGAGAGTAGATGTTTTGTTTTAGATTTGACTTATCTTAAGAAAGGAAGAGGTTGACCCAAAAAGACTTAATTTGTATAAAAAATTATCTTTATTTATTAGAATTAAATGAAAATATGACACTCCGTAGGACATAATGGAGAAAAAGGACTCAAGTAGGTGACCCCACTTGGTGGGATAAAGGCTTGTTGTTGTTTCCTATGAATTGGTTTAGTTGGAAGGCAATAGGTGTGAAAGATTTTTAAAAGAGATACTTTTGAGATAAAAATATTATTTTGTGAATTTTATAGTTTTCTTGTTAACAGTTACATATTAAATTTAAAGGGAGCGCGGATGAAAGTAATATAACAGGTAAAACAAATAAATAAATAAATAATCACATTATTTTATACCAAATAAGTAGACTATAACGATAATCTGCATTAGGGAAAGTAAAAGTTCTAACAAGATGAGCCTTAATAAGAAAATAAATGGACTTCTGACTTCTTATAATAATGTTAGAATGAAGGAATGGTCCAACTGGTACAATGGGGCATTGATAATTGCAATGTTGGGTTGATCAAACTCTATCAACTGTTATTATGACCAAGGAGTAAGGTCACGAAATAATGAATTAGAGGTGTCAACACCTATGCAAATATCACGTGTTTCTAAAATAACAAGTACTCAAAATAAAATTTAAAATAAAAGTGGAACAAATAAATTCAAATATGAAATAGACGAGCATAGTGCGATAAAATTTTGAAATTTAACAGCCATATGTATTTCTAACAATGTTACAGTTGATGCATATGATTGTGTTTACTGTATTAAATTAAGAAAAATAATATGTCTATTTAATATCACTGCCACACTAATTACAATTACAAATGTCAATACAAGTATTAATCATAAATCAGAATGCATATTACTATTGTTTTCTAGTATAATTAAACTTTATTTTAGAAGTATACATCTCATTAAGAACATAAGATAATATACTTATGATTTCAAAAAACAAAGCAGACGGATCAGTGATCTTTGTTATCATTATTTGTCTGTATAGCATTTTTGTTATACAACTTTGGATACTTAATTGAAAACAATTTTGCCCGATGTAAATTATAAATTTTGGGTATGTACAAGTTTTTGTTGTGAGCTTTTTTTTACTTTTAAAGCTCTGCTTTTTATTTTGTTGATTCTTCTAAGCATGCTTATGTATTAACATTTATGATGAAGATTAGACGACCTGAAATAAAATTACATGCTTTGTCATGATTCAAGCTAACTAATTTCCTAGTCACTAGACCCCGTTTTGTAAATGTTAATATAGATATTAGCGGAAAATGAATCTGGTTGAATCGTCCTCCTCTGTTACACCTATGGCTACTCGAAGGGGGTTAATTGATGTGTGACAAGTGCACAGTGCAACTAAGTTATAAGCAGTTGGTCAACCTCAGAAGTAGGAGTATGAGCTCGTGAGAGAGAATTCTGGCCGGCAGTTAGGGTCAGAAGAAATTTGCAGGCAAGTAGGGGAGGGTTGCAAATGGATAGAGAGGAGCAAGGCAGCTATAATTAAGACTAACCGCGCTCTGGTACATTTTAAAGAGGAAAGCTCATATGTTGTGCATTATTCGCTAAAGGACCACATTTTTAAAACAGAATAATGAATATTAATGCTCTAACACAGCAAAATAAGCACACATCAGTCACTCAATAAAAAGTATTTTTCTAATTTAATATATTTCTATTCTAGCAAGCTAATAAGAACTAATAAAGCTGATATTTGCCAAACTTACATGCTCTGAAAGATGCATTGGACAGAAATAATTAATGCAGGGAGGTGGTTTTGCATTGTTCATGCAAGAGTTCGATGGAGAAAGCATTCTCCTATCATACAATCGAGCAAATGCATCACTGTTCAGTAAAAGAAAATAATATAAGTTCATAAAGCACTTATTATGCATGATCACAAAAACTTAACAACTGAATGAATCTATAATGTTTACCTGCCCCCTACAACAATTTGATGGGGTCGGGTGGTACTTATGTCACAAGATTTCAGTAATAAACAAAGCTTCGGAGGATCAGCTAGAGAATTTTTTTCCCCGCAGCGAAGGTCAAGCTGCCAAAATGTTCAACACTTAAATGAGAGCTGACACAACATTTTCATGATACTAGAACCTTGAGGACAGAAAGCATAACAAATTGCAGTATTTTTTTTGGCAAAGAATAATTTTGTTGTTATAAGACTGCTTTTCCAATTACTTTTGACTTTATAAATTTTTTATTCTATTTCTTGAACTCTAAGGAGGAATGCTTATAGCATGTTTTTCACATCTAAATATCAAAGAAGTCAGAGTATCTCATATGATGTCATTTAAACCAACGGTCCATGCATGCACCAAAAAAGATTGTAGAACCTAGTTCCAAAAAAGACATTTGATTGCATTAAAAACAGTAAATACATGTGTGTGTGCGCGCGCATGCATGAATGTATATATGTATGTAGGGATGCATGTATAAATATTTAATGTATGGATGTATGTGTATATATGTATGTGTATTTATATGTGTGTGCGTGCAAGCAAGCTGCTACCATGCCATTGGTACTTACAAGAACATTATGTCATTCCTGGCGAGAAGAACCAGCACGAGGGCAAGTAGAACATTCCCTCATGTCATGTTGCCTTAAAGTCCCATCCTCACTTGCACTCCACACTACATTAGGATTGCCAACTTCAACCTATAAAGCAGATAGTAATAAAAAAAAAATTAAGAAAAAAATACATCTGCGAATCAATCAACAAATCAATAAAAACAAGAGAACCTGTGATCATGCAAAAACCATGGAGAAGCGTGCATCATATATGTTACGCGAAGATATGCATATAATATACATTGAAGAAAGCAAATAAAGATAAATGAAGTCGGTGGAAATTTTACAGCCAACTTCTTGACTCGTCTGGAATGGCACTGGAAAAATGCCGATGGTTCCAAAGTGCTAATATTGCCACTTTTCTCTCTCACCACTCTTTCCCGTCTTTCCCGAGATATATTGAAAATGCGAACCTAGAAGGATGCAAATACTAATGTTATATTCTCTAGCATTTGGGTCATCATGTGACACTAATCTCCAAGCTCCCTCTAGCAGATCAGAAGACTACCTCTGCATCACCTGCACCGGAAACTACAAGTTCATCGCATGTCTCTGGAACAAATTTTGCACAAAATATGTTTGCAGAATGCCCGGTATCAATGCTGTGAATCAGTCCACCAGTAGGGTAGCTCCATATATTAACCTGCAAAATCAAAAGCATTTTAATTACTTTCAGAAGTAAAGAAGTAGACGGTAAAGAATGGCAAGTAAAAGACTTTTTTTCAGTTATTTCAACTGAGCAAATTTACAAAACAAAAAGCTTTCACAAGTCGATTTGAGATTATTCTACATCTACTATAAAATAAAAGCACATTAATACGCTTGACAGATGTACTCTTTTCATGACTGACATACATAGGTATGAGATGAGATAGCAAAAGGCAAAAAAAAAAAAACAAGCTAATAACTCAAGAAGATGCAACTAATCACAACTTCACAAAGAATATTTGCCAAAAATGTGAGTAAAAAATTTACTCTGGTATCATCTGATCCAGAAATCAATAATGAGCCGCTCGAATTCCAAGAAATTGCATTAACACAACCATGATGGCCCTGTAAGAGGTCAAAACAATGGGAAAATGATGTCAACACTCAATCATGATTAACTAAAAGCAAAGAAAAAGAATATGCAGAACATCAAGCGCACTATGCCGAGTAACTAATAACTTACCCGTTCTAGATAGTCAGATAAAACTTCTTCTACATTACAATATTTAGCAGCAATATTAAATTAAAGAAAGATAACAATTGGTTTCAAGGAAAAACACAATGATCTACTGGACTGCTCATGAAACAAAGATCTAAGCCTCAACGCATTCTAAGAAATAGAAATGATGCTATCGCCATCAGTTAGGGCTGTGAATTTAGCGCATTTAACTTGAAGATCATTAATCGCTCGAAGTTTAATTCAAATTTTGCTCAGATCGAGATCGGATCAAAATAAACGAAAAGAGCAAGAAGCTAAAATTTTAGATCGAATTTTTTTTAGCCGATTTTGAGTTAATCACAACTTGGCTTGAAATCAGATAGTTAATAGCCCTACCATCAATGACGTCTCAAGTTAATCTTTGTATCAGTTTCTACCAGGCGCTTAAGCTAACAGTATCACTCATACCTACTTGAATATAGTTCCCTTTTAATCAAGCAGAAATGAACATATTTAAATAAAATACTCTGTATATCTATGGAGTTTTAAGAGCATTGATTAGCCAAAATGAGGTAATAATGATACAAAAATCATGAAATAATCGATTTAAAAAACAAAATATAATCAGTTCAGTGTCGTGCCTTGTGGGTCAGCAATGACACACATGGTGACAGGCACAGCGACACCAACCCAAGCGGACAGTTATAAGTTAGGCTTAATCGAAGAAAAAATCTATGGGTCAGCCTCAAGTTGAATGAATTTCTATAGTTTTTTTGCCGAAAGAACAGTAAATTTTGAAGATTGTAGTCACGTCCTTCAACGCAGTAAGCGTATATCGTAAAAAAGAGAGAAAAGGTGGCTTCTGTTCAAAAGAAAAAAAAAACACTTAAAAGGAGCAGAAAAAAGTGCCTAAAGAAAGAAATGGAGAAAAAGGAACCCCAACATAATAATCAAAGAAAGATAGATAAGCATTCTTTTGTGAGATCTCTCCATCTTTCACCTCTTTTGATGTTTTCCATGCTCTCTAATAACACATTTAAAAATATGAGAACATAATACTTTATTTTCTTCAGGTATTGGGTAGAAGAGGTAAAATATTTATAGGAGTAATATAAACCCGATTACTGGGTCAAAAATAAAAAGACAAAATGGGAATGAAATAGATATAATTAACCACAGAAAATATGGAATGACTGCATAACTTAAAATTTAATCTGCACTAAAGAAACAAAGATGGCAGGGAGCAACTACATAAGGTGTTTGATTCATCATTCACAAATAGGGTACACACATATATATATATATATATATATATATATCTATATATATATATATATATGTATATAGGAAAACCAATCTCTCCTTATTTATAAACATATATCTCCTCTAAATTAGGACAGGAAATAATTCTGAATAAAAAATAGAATAACAAAAAATAGGCAAGGAATAAAACAATCAAAAGTTTCCTAAAATATACCAATCAAATCTTCCAAGATTTGGAGTTGGCCGTCCCGCGCACATAAGAGACAAGGGAAAGAATCAAATCTTCTCAAATTTCCACACTCCCTCTCAAGATGGGTCGTAAATGTTGTAGAGACCAACCTTGCATGGAGTTTTGAGAAGGTATTAAAAAGAAAAACTTTGATGAAGATACCAACAGCTTGTTGGTGTGCTAGGATGTAGCTTAGTTATGTAATTCTCCCATTGATCTTTTCAAATATGAAGTGTCTAACAACTTCAATATGCTTGGTCCTATCATGATACACAAGATTCTTAGCAATATTGATAGCAACTTGACCATCACAAAACATTTGCATAGGACTAATAGAAGTACATCACAGTTCTCTTAACAATTTATGAATCCAGATCCCTTCACAAATCCTCAAAATAAGTGTTCTATACTCTAATTTTGCAGTGCTTTTCAAAACAATAGCTTGATTCTTACTTCTCCATGTAACCAAATTTCCCCAGAAATATAAGCAGTAACCTGTGATAGATCTTCTATCAATGAATTCTCCAGCCCAACTAAAATCATGTAGACTTCCACTTCTCTATTTCTGGTTTTCTCAAAAATTACTCCATAATGAGTCTTCTTGAGATGCACCGGAATTTCGTATACCATCTCCAACTACTCTTCATTTGGGTTATTCATATGTTGGATCGGAATACTAATAGAATATGCAAAATGTGGCCTAGTATGTGATTGATAGATGAGTTTTTCTATCAATATTTAGTATCTTCCCTTATCAACACATTATTTTTCATTGTTAAACTTATTATTGGGCATAGCACCAAATTTTTAAAAACAAAATAAAAGTTTGACAATTTTAAAATATACCCCAAATTTCACATTCCTCGAATTTCAACCAAATTAATTTTATAAAATTCTAAACATTAAATCGATTAATTTGATATATAACACCATGCATGAATTTTAAACGTACAAGAAGATTTCAAATTATGAAACAAAAGTTTAATTAACCCTTAGTTTAATTCTTATTTTCCTGTCACTGTTCTCAGTAGACCTATTCATGCGACATGCAGCCATGGGATGGATCAAAAGATTGAGATTTAACGGGTTTAAGTTAAATTGCCACATTCCATTTCATTTTCCCCTCTCCCTCACTTCATTTCCTTGCGCTTAAAACTTTCATGATTGGAACATGAAGCGGGGCGTGAACTGAGCGAACGGCTGAGAGTCTATACTTCATGTTGAGAGTACTAGAGAGAAATAAATAAGTAGGGAACCCTCTTTCACAATATTTGAGACATTCATTTCCTTCATTACATTTTCTTGTTGGCATTCGCTACAAATTCAAGCATTCCATGTGTTTCTTATTACTATAGCATTGCAAGAACAGCAACGAGACTGTAGAACTGAGAGCTACACTCTCTGATAGGTCCATTACACGAATTTTCAAGAAGGATTAAGGGGAAATGTGGAAGAGGAAAGAAGAATATGAAGTATTGGAGAAGGGTTGGTTATACTGAGAAATTCTTTCGAGGTAGGAATTCGTATGAGTTATGTTTCGGGTTAAATCACAAGATAAGCGAAGATTTCATAAAATCCTAAGAGGTTTGTGAATTTCAAGTTGTTAAAACTAAGCGGCTAGCTTGAGACGATCATGGAAAACTCGTCGTAGGGCTGGTCAGTCGATTCAGATGAAATAATCACATATTAACTTATGAAAAATAACTTTTTGTAGGTTTCCATGTGATTATATGTTAGATATTATTGCATTTAAATTTTTTTATAATTAAAACATATGATATATGAAATGTCTATGATGAATATATTTTACAAAAATTATGTTTTAAGAAATATCACAAATGATGTTACAGGTAAGCTATTATATGAATACTTACAAGTACGAATGTTAGAGAATGATAGGATTCCCGACTTCTGGTATTCAAACAGAGAAGAAACTCTGAAAACCATTGGGATCAGAGAGGAATGAAATATTGGGAACTTTTGGTATTAATCGACTATTGATAACTGTCATGTTGGGAGGTATCCAACTTTTATCAATAGTTAATATAGTCTTTGGGTCAGGTGACGGCCCATGACGTGGTAGGACATTGAAATAGTTGAGACTTCCACAATTACAAGTGACATTACTGTAACATAATTGATAAATATTATGAAAATGCTTATGATTACACATAAATAGATGAAATACATATTTTATGCAACAATCATGATTTCATTCAATAAATGTTTTTTACATGTTTTATATGATTATAACATGTGCCATGGGTTCTGGATATGTACATGGGTTACATATGAGCATAAAAGTTATTCTTTTCATCTATAAAATCTTATCTTAGTTTTGATTATTTCGCTAAGCTTGTTGAAGTTCACTATACATTGTTGACTTTCAAGAAGGGATAAGGAGTAATGGGGCGAGTATTTAGATATGACTTGTATAGCTTTTGCATTTCATAATTTTGAAAACTTATACAAACTTTTGGATATGTACTTTAATTGTGTTAAATTTAACAGCTTTGCGTGTGTAAGTGTTTTAGTGATAAGATTTTTCACGCTTCTGATTATATGTAAATGATTTATGAAATAAAATGTATTAAATACGATAGCAGCGATTTATTTAGACTAGTTCAACACTTGATGGATCCTAATTCTGCAAGTCATGACGAATGCTGATGAGAATTTAGTATGACTGAATCGTCCGCCTCTATCACGCCGCAGTTAACCCTTAGGAGGCCAGTTGGAATGTGACATTTGGTTCTATTGGAGTATCAGTAGGTTTGCATCCAATCATCCATGTTTTATTTAACGAATCTATCCACCTTTGGACCTTGCTACCTCCATACCTAAAAAATATCTCATATTTTCTAGGTCCTTGAGTTTAAACTCAACGACAAGCACTTCTTTGATTTTGAAAATTTCTTTTTCATCGTCACCAGTAAGAATAATATAATCCACAAATACGATCAGTGCGACAATTTTATCTCTCTGAGTTTGTTTTATAAACAATGTGTGGTCAACTTGACTGAGAATATCCATTAGATTTCGTAACTTTAGCAAATCTTTCAAATCATGTCTGGTTATTATTTAAGCTCATAAAGAGACTTTATGAGTTTGCAAATTAGGTGTTTATTGGAATTATTCTCAAGTCCTTGTGGTATATCCATGTATACTTCTTCCAGATACCCATTCAGGTATTTTTTATGTCAAGTTGATGCGTTGAAATTTTTAGCAATAATTCTAGTTTTGAATATTTCAAAACTCGAATCAGCTTAGTATTTCATGTTGAACAACCATTTGCATCCAACAGGTTTCTTATCCTAAGGAAGTTTAGTAAAAATTTATGTGTCATTATGTTTTAGTGCTTGAATATCTTCTTCTACTGCTTTTCTCCATTCTGGATTTTCAAAAGCTTCATAAATGAATTTAGGAATATGCACACTATCAAGGTTATATATAAAAGCTCTATAGGTTGTGGATAACTTTCTATAAGCCATATACTCCTAAATTGGGTATAGCTTTCCTTGTCATTAGCACCAGATGAATTTGATAACTCGTGACTATTAGACTGCTCACCTAAAATTTCGGGTAAATATGGACTCGGGTTACATTATAGTAATTTTGTCTTTGTCAGTTGTCTTCCACCAACTCAAAGTTTTTCTTCTTCCTAGTGTACACACGAATTTTTTTATTGTGAACTTCAAGTTGGGATGGCTGAATATCCTCAACAAGAGTAGGAGATTCGAGTGGAAGAGTATGTGGGTTTGTTGTATATGTGTCATTGAGTGCATTTCAAACTTGATATTCCTTTGAACTCTCCCCCTGAACATCAGATTTAAAATAGTATGATTGATTTTCAAAAAATGTGACATTCATGGAGTTTTAGTATTTTTCGGTAATAGGAGAGTGATATCTATATCTTTTATTATTAGAGACATCCAAGAAAAATACACATGATGGATTTAGAGTAAAATTTGGTGTGGTTTGAGGAATAAATGTAAACAAAGGATAAGTGGTAGTAAGAGAGAAAGCTCTAATGTGTGGATGGATAATCATCAAAAAATGATGTGATATTTGAAAATTAAGTACTTGGTAAGGCATTTGATTGATAAGATATGTCGTAGCAAAAATTGATTCCCCCAAAAAGATTTTAGAACTTGATAAGAAAACATATTTAGTGAGAAACCTCAAGTAAATGCATCTTATTTCTCTTTGTTACATCATTTTATTGTAGGGTATCAATATATAAAGCCATATAGATGACTCCATTTTTCAAAACGTTGGGCCCATGAATGGAGTTGAAATATTTTTTTGCATTATCAGTTTTAAAGATCTGAATTTTGCAATAGAATTGAGGTAAATCATGTCATAGAAAATTTGGAAGATTTTAGATGTTTTGGATATTTCATTCATTATGAGTGCTCAAGTAGTTCTAATATGATCTTCAAATGAGCCAAACAATCTAGCCCCAAGAGTTTTCACCTTTGAAGATCCTTAAATATCATTGTGAATAATGAAAAAAGAATGTGAGAGTTTAAACTGAGTCATGGGATAATTATTTCTAGTGTATTCAGCAAGTTGACAAGTCCAACATTAATAAAAACAAGATTTTTTATTGATAAACAAATGTGAATACAACTTAGATACATAATTGAAATTAAAATCATTCAGACAACAATGTCATAATATAACTTGTTTTTCGGCCGATACGGATTCAACATACTCAGAAATTTGAGGGACATGTGAAGGTGGGATTAGTTGTGTGTTTAGAGAGAATTTTTTCTTCAGCGAGTGTGAGTCTTGATGGATCAGCACTATCAATCACCATCCCTGATTTTACCAACTGAAATTCACAAGAGTTTATAAGTAATTTAGTTATCAATTTCATATTATGAGTAATTTTATTGGTTGAAATCAAATTTCAGACCAAATGTAAAACATATAAACATAGGAGAGTAATATCCTAAAAGAGCTTCACATCTTCTTTCCCAACAATATTTGAGTGTGATCCGTCTAAAAGTCTTACCAGCTTAGATGTAGAAGCATCTTGATAGTTGATTAGAGCATTGATGTCTTCGATCATAAGGTTAGAGGCTCCTAAATCTATGATCCAAGTTTTAAATCTCTCACTACTGACAAGATAGAAGAAAATATTACCTTGGTGTGTCACGAGTTTGGTGTGCTGTTGTGAATTAACTTCATTGAGATTCTTCAGTACTTCAAGTTGTTCCTTAGTGAATGGTTCAGTCGATCATTCAGATGTAGTAACAGCATTCACCTTTTTCTCTTGATCCTTTCTTCCATATTCAGGATTCCAACAAGCAAGCTTTCCATGGAGTTTTCAAAATTTGTCTTTGATATGTCAAATCTTCTTACAATAATCATATATGGACGGTTCTTTTTGACGTTTGAGTCAAGGGAAGAATTATGGGTGTACAGTTACTTCATGTTCTCCTCTCCCGACTTCAGCAAAGGCTTCACAGGGAGACGAAAAAGGCTTTGTTCCCATGATCCTCCCTCTCATCTCATTCAACTCCTGAGTTAGTCGTACTAGAAATTTGGTCCACTTTTTCTCGATCATGGATTTAAATGTCACAGCGTCTTATGGACATTTTCACATTTGTCTCAAACATATCCAATTGTAGCCAATACTTTATCGGAGTCTTTCAATATTGAGTGACGCTTAGCTCTTCTTGACAGACGTCATGAAGCTTAATTTCAATCTCAAACAACTCTGCAGCGTTTTCAGCGTTTGAATTTATTTCTCCTATAGCCTTCCAAATTTCTTTGTCAGCTTTGTATAACATAAAATTCTCTCTCGCTTCAGTGGTCATTGAGTTGACTAACAAAGACATAATCATATGATCTTTGATACTTCATGTGTGGTAGGATGGGTCAATGCCTCAAAAATCGTGTCATCTCCCATAAGATGTTCCTCTTCCCCTTTATTATAAATGTACATAAACATGGATTGTGACCATGAAAGGTAGTTATGATCATTGAATTTATGATTTGTGATAAAATTAGAGAGTTCGTGAGTTATCTAGACAGAATCCCTGCTCTCTGACTCAGAATTCACCTTCAGAGTAGAACTTGATGTCTCCATCATGTACTTTGTTATCCTTGAGCATATTTAGGGTTTCTTTTAGTTGTTAGTCCTCAATTGACCATAACTGTTTGTTGTCGTTGTTGTTGTTATTTATGCTAGTTGTCACTATTGTTGTTATTTATACTAGTTGTCATAGTTGTTGCTTCTGCTTGTTGTCATCGCTTTTGTTGTTCCTTCTAATTGTTGTCGTTGCTTTTTTTGTTGCTGGGGGTGTAAACGAGCCTGGGCTCGCTCGTGTTCGGCTCTTGCGCCTGGGGCTTGTTTATATTTCGAGTTAAAAAAGTGTTTTCGTGTTCGACTCGTCTGCTTAGCGAGTCGAACAGGAGCCGTTCACGAACAAAGAGTCGTTTTGACAACCCTAATCACGTAGCCATAAGATGTCAATAATTGAGTCAAGATTTAAAACATCATTTGAATCTAAATTAATATTTTTTATTCTATTTTCTTCATTAATATTTTTAATTGATTATAAATCTTTGTAGTCTTGTAGTCAATTAATTTTTTTAAAAATACTACTCATCAAAGATATATATATATAATTGATTAGCAGTATTTCGAGCCAAAACGAGCCAAACACGAATGAACAAATATTTGTTCGTGTTTATTTGTTTGTATTCGACTCGTTAACTTAGCAAACAAGCCGAACACGAGTTGTTCGCGAACAACGAGCCGTTTTGACAGCCCTAGTTGTTGCTGCTGAAGGATGTTCCTGTCGGGGGTAAAAGGGCCTGCAACACAAAAAATTATCAGTTGTAGGGAAAACA